AACTGAACAGAGAATTCTCAGCAGAGGAAGTTCAAATGGCCAAAAGACACTTAAGGTCATGCTCAACCTCCTTAGCGATCAGGGAAATGCAAATCAAAACAACTTTGAAATATCATTTTACACCTGTCAGAATGGCTAAAATAAAAAACTCCAATGATAGCCTTTGCTGGAGAGGCTGTGGAGGAACGGGTACCCTCATCCATTGCTGGTGGGAATGCAATCTTGTGCAACCACTTTGGAAATTGGTGTTTCAGTTTCTCAGGAAATTCGGGATCAACCTACCCCTGGACCCAGCAATACCACTCCTGGGAATATACCCAAGAGAGGCCCGATCATATGACAAGAGCATTTGTTCAACTATGTTCATAGCAGTATTATTTGTAATAGCCAGAACCTGGAAACAACTTAGATGCCCTTCAATGGAAGAATGGATGAAGAAAGTGTGGAATATCTACACACTAGAGTACTACGCTGCGGTAAAAAACAATGACTTCTCAAATTTTGCATGCAAATGGATGGAAATACAAAACACTATCCTGAGTGAGGTAACCCAGACCCAAAAAGATGAATATGGGATGTACTCACTCATAATTGGTTTCTAGCCATAAACAAGGGTCACGGAGTCTACAATTGGTGATCCCAAAGAAGCTAACTAAGTAAGAAGGTGAACCAAAGGAAAAACATATAGTTGTCCTCTTGGCTATGAGAAGTAGACAAAATGGCCGGGGAGAAAATTGAGATCTTGGGGGTGGGGTGGGATGGGGGTAAGGGGAGATGGGAGAGAAAAGGGAGAAGGGGAGAATGGGGGGAACTTGGGGAAAAAGGAGGATTGGGATAAAGAAAGGTTGATAGGGGAGCACGAAAGCACAATTCTTAGTTAAGGGAGCCACCTTAGAGTTGGCAAGAGACTTGAACCTAGAGTGGCTCCCAGATGCCCAAGCCAAGGTCCCCAGTTAGTTCCTTGGGCAGCTGAGGATAGGGAACCTGAAATGACCCTATCCTATAGCAATACTGACAAATATCTTGCATATCACTATAGAACCTTCATCTGGTGATGGATGGAGATAGAGACAGAGACCCACACTGGAGCACTGGACTGAGCTCCCAAGGTCTGAATGAGGAGCAGAAGGAGGGAGAACATGAGCAAAGAAGTCGGGACCACGAGGGGTGCACCCACCCACTGAGACAGTGGAGCTGATCTATTGGGAGCTCACCAAGGCCAGCTGGACTATGACTGAAAAAGCATGGTATAAAACTGGACTCTCTGAGCATGGCGAACAATGAGGGCTGATGAGAAGCCAAGGACAATGGCATGGGGTTTTGATCCTACGTAATGTGCTGGCTCTGTGGGAGCCTAGCCAGTTTGGATGTTCATCTTCCTAGAAATGGAAGGAGAGGGGAGGACCTAGGACTTACCACAGGGCAGGGAACCCTGACTGCTCTTTGGACTGGAGAGGGAGGGGGAGAGGAGTGGGGGGAGGGTGAGAAGGGTGGGGGGAGGGTGAGAAGGGTGGGAGGAGGGGGAGGGAAATGGGAGGCTGGGAGGAGGTGGAAACTTGTTTTTTTTTCTCCTTTTCTCAATAAAAAAGTGGAAAAAAAAAGACTAGTAGATTGTTTCAAGGAGCAAAAGTACTTTTTATTAAAAGGAACATCCAGTGGAATCCTTTAGAATAGGAAATAGCAGTACTGTAAAAATAAAACATACAGGGGAATATAAACCAGAAAGGGAGACCACCAGGTAATGTGCTATATTTTCTCAAAAATACACCACTGTACACCAATGTACTATGTCACTAAGAATAGATCCTGCTTACCTTTTGTAATAGCTTTTGAGTTTTTCACTGTTTAAACACATTGTAATCTACTCAATTTTTTGTAGACAATTCTATGGTTTCTAGGTTATCTCTTTTTTGGGGGAAGGGGGAAGCTCCATGGTTCTAGAAGTGAAATTTTAGAAGAAAAGCATATACATATTGGCCCCATGCTTTTAGAAAGACTAACAATTTATATTCTCAGCTTGCCAGGAGTCTAAAGCAGTGACTCTCAACCTTCATAATGTTGTGACCCTTTAATACAGTTCATGTTGTGACCACAACCATAAAATTACTTTCATTGCTACTTCCTAACAGTAATTTTGCCACTGTTGTGGATCATTATGTAAATATCTATGTTTTCTGACAGTCTTAGGCAACCCCTGTGAAAGGGTTGTTTGACTCCCCCAGGGGTCATGACCCACATGCTGAGAACCATTGTTCTAAAGAATTATCTTCAGACACATCTGACAAGTCTTTCTTCAGGCAAGCATTAAAAATCAGTTTGCTTGCCTGGGGGTGTTGGCGCAGGCCTTTAATCCCAGCACTTGGGAGGCAGAGGCAGGAGGATCTCTGTGAGTTCGAGGCCAGCCTGGTCTACAAAGGGAGTTCCAGGACAGGCTCCAAAGCTACAGAGAAACCCTGTCTCGAAAAACCAAAAAAAAAAAAAAAAAAAATCAGTTTGCTCAGATTAGCAGTTGGCAGTGTTTCCATCACTTTGTTAGATAATGTCAAGGCGGTCGAACTACAGTTGTATTATAGACAAAATTCCTGCTGGCTGGCGCTGGCTGGGGCTAAACATGCGAAGAAAAACAACAACAACAACAACAACAACAATAAAGTAAGTCTTTTGTAGCTGCATGGAGACCGAAGAGCTTGAGTGATTTGCTGTGTCACCACCCGGCAAAGAAATTCCACGTCTATCTCCACGTTAGAAATGATTACAAACTCCTGGACCTAGGAAAGCATAGGGTGGGGAAAGGATGGGAAAACAGAAAGAGGAGGCAGGTTTCTTTGATCTAAATCACCTGACCTCAGATCTGTGGCGAACTCTGTTCATTCTCTCCACTCTGTCTGCCCACAACACACAAACAAGCACAACATACAGCAACTGTGGCAGCACACAAAGACGCCATCTTCTTCCTGCTTCAAGTGTGGACTTTCCACAGTTCCAGGTTATCCAAGAAGGTACTAGGCTATTGAGTAAAGCTACTCGAGATGACTCTAGCTAGGTGTATTCTCACCTGTTTCAAATTCTTTCTTGTTTTTTATTTTATTTTATTTTTGTGAGATAGGGTTTCGCTGTAATTTTTTAAAATATTTATTTATTTACTTATTTATTATGTATACAATATTTTGTGTGTATGCCTGCAGGCCAGAGGAGGGCAGTAGACCCCATTACGGATGGTTGTGAGCCACCATGCGGTTGCTGGGAACCGAACTCAGGACCTTTGGAAGAGCAGGCAATGCTCTCAACCTCTGAGCCATCTCTCCAGCCCCTTTCGCTGTAATTTTAGAGCCTGTCCTGGAACTAGCTCTTGTAGACCAGGCTGGCCTCGAATTCACAGAGATCCACCTGTCTCTGCCTCCCGAGTGCTGGGATTAAAGGCGTGTGCCACCTCCCCCTCCCCGCACCTGTTTCAAATTCTGCACTAAATTTGAATAGTCTATTGTTCACCACTTCAGTATAAAAGTTATACACAGAAAAAAAAAGTTATACACAGTAGATGTAAAGGTGTAGAAAACCTAATTATAGCTTTATATCTTAAAAAAATAAAGATTAAATGATTCCTTTAATTAGCTGCCCAAGATCACTTAAGCACACCTGATTTATAATCACATAGATATGTGTGCATATGTGCATAAGTGCCTGCAGAGGCCAGAGGCTTCAGGATCCCCCTAAAGTTAAATTACAGATGGTTGTGAGCTAACCAGCATGGGTTCTGGGAATCCGAACTCGTCCTCGTCCTAACAACTGAACCGTTTCTCTATTCTCTCAAAATAACTTTTTTAAGGTTTTGTAGTTAAAGGAAAATTATTTGTGAACTTATGGCATCCTCAGTTAAGCAATGAGGGCTTAAAGTATATAAGTAGCGTATCTGTGCACTTTGTGTGGGAAAGTTATTAATATGCTTTATTCAGTCCGAGATTCCTGAGTGAACTTCCCGCCTTCACTCAGCCTAATTCTTTCCAATTTTACATTCTTCTTCCCACTCGGATCTCTCCAACCCTTTTCGTATCACACTCTCCCTCTGGTTCTTAGCAACTCCTGAAGCTCCGCCCCTCCTCGCTCGCCCCGCCCCCTAGCCGCACCTTCAGCTAGCACCATTTCTCTTCAGTCTTCACAAGCCTCACCCCAGTGGCCCTAACACTCTCCGTCGGCCCCGCCCCTTTCCGATGCCCCGCCCAGTCCCTTTGCTCCTCCCCGATCCCGCCCAACTCGCTTCGCCCCGCCTCCAAGCGATCCGCCTACCTCTCGCTCCGCCCTCCGCCTCGCCTCCTCTCTCCTCTAGGCCCGCCCCTCTGACCCCGATGCTTCGCTCCAGTTCCTCCACTTGCGTGGGGCCCGGAGCCCCTCGCTTCCGCAGTCCCGTGACCCGCCCTTCCCCAAAGCCTCGCCCCTATCATCCACGCTAGTCCCGCCCCGCGCTGCAGGTACCGCCCCGTTCGCACCGTTCGGCTAGCCCCGCCCCGCCTTCCGGCTCCTCCCCTGCAGCACCTTTGCAAGTAGGCCCCTGCGCTCTGACGTCACACGCCGGCGACAGGGACGCGGGCCGTTCCTTTCTCCCCCATCCTCAGCCCCAGGGTTTTGGGGCGGCTACGTGGGGCGTCCCTACCTTGAGCCGGTGCAGTTGCCCGCAGCCCGGAATCCATGGTCACTGTGGCGAGGCGGGAGGACGCAGGCGGCATCTAGCCCCCCAGTCGCACGTGCTGCGGCTCCGCGCCCGGCCCTGCCTCCTGGCCCTGTGAAGTTGGGGGCGGTACCCAGTCACTCACCCTGTGCCGCCGCCGTTTCCAAGGGGTCAGAAACCGCTGTGTTTGCGTCGTCCGCGGAGCCGGGCTCCGTGGTGCGGGCGTTTGCCTGGCCGGCCGGAGGCGAGCCTGACGCATCAGCCGGAGACCCGTGCCAGGGCTGTGAGCGGCTGCTGGAGAGACAGACTCGCTTTCTCTTTCAGCATGCCTTTTTCAAAGTGCACCGTGGTGCCGCTGCCTTAAGCCCTAGGGGAAGACCCTGCTGCCTCTGGACCGGTGCTTCTGGTCGCCACTGTTATTCTGAATCAAGTACCTTGTCATTGAGGTGAGTTTCTCGTGGGGGAAGCAGTGGTAGACAGGATGGTGAAGTCACTGAGAGCCAGGAGACTTGTGTGGACGCTCTGTAAAGTGCATGGATGCCCTCCCAAGTGTTTGCACGTGAAGCACCTTCAGCTCATTAAAATGTAAACTCGTCTCTCCAAGCAGTTCTTTGATATAAAATGACAATGCAATCTTAGTGGATGATAAGCAGTCATTTAAATGGATTAGATGCCTTTGATGTTATCTGTGTATTTTAATGAGAAAATGAATAACAGTTAACTAATTAACCTAAAAGCTAATGTATCACTTCTCTTCATGATTTGACACAATTTCCATGTGTAAAGTATTCAAATTTTTACTACTTTAAATAATTTAGTGGAACTTTGGGGAGGGTTCCTGGGGATTGGATACAGGACTTCATTTTTTCTAGGCAGGTTATCTGCCCGATCAATTTTTTTTTCTCTCCTGTAAGACCTCCGAGAAGCAGAAATATGTTTATTGCCTACATAAATCACATCAGAAATGTTTGTGAAGGCTTAAAAGCCCTAGTCCGTCTAAGCGCTAATGATGGGCTTTTCTTAAGATGCAGTAAGTAGAGATGAAGGGCTGCAGCCAAACACAAAGAGTAGTTCTTTGTTTCTAGTTTTGAGAATCTGGATGTCTGCAGTTAAAATTGTCTCTTCTAGGGAAACCCGAGTAACCTATTTTGTGGGGAAACTGGTTTTTACACAGAAAAAAGTCTGTTAGAAATCTGATAAAAGCTGTGGAACTTCACCACAGAAGTTCTTTTGAGGTCATATTAATAATACATTAGCATTGTATCCCAAGCAGATTTTACTCTCTAGTCTGCTTTCTTTTCTAAATTATGGACATAATAGCTTTTCATGCATATTAAGTTTGTCTTTGTATGTTGGTAGTTTCTACCTCAATCTCCTTGAATGTTGCCTGAACATATTTACCAAGGAGAAAACACATACTGTAAAAAATAAATAGTAGCAATCCTCTATTTTGTTTTCTAATTTTTTCTCAGTTATGAAAAATAGAGAAGGATTTTCCTCTCTGAGAAGATACATTGACCCTTTCTACAGTTCAGGCTGTTTCTATTGTTTTGGAAGAACTGTGTGTTTAGACTGCCTGTAGGCAGTACCAGGAAATTTCTTGGCATCTGTTTTCATCTATTCCTAATGTTTCCCTTTGGAATAACCTGTCCATCAAATATCTGAAACAGCTATGCTTACTGCCAGTCAGTATGTGTTTTCCTGATTGATGGAGATGCAGTTTTAAATTCATGTAATCTGACAGTTTTCACATGTGGTTCATAATATTGTGTCACATATTGCTTATTTTTAATAGTTCTTAAAAAGGAAGATACCTAATTTGTCTAGAGCTACGGGATTAAAAAGCAACATGATATTGTGGCAAAACTTTAAATGTTAAGGTAAAAAAGTTTGGACATTGTTTGAGGTTTTTCTCCTTCAATGTTAAGGATTAGTCCCAGGGCCTGGTGCATTCTAGGCAGGTCCTTCTGCTGCCAAGCTGTATCCCCTTTCCTGTTCAGATATTCAAGTTGGACCAGCAAGATTGTCACCAAGCCCGATCAGTCTCCATGACCTACCTACATGGTGGAAGAAAAGAACTGACTCCCACAAGTTGCCCCCCCCTCCCCCCCGCACACACAGTCTGTCTGTCTTTCTAAATACATACATTTTAAAACATTTAAAAATTAAAGTGAAAAAATTGATTTGCTCAGTGTTCTTCCTACTTGTATCAGTATACATGGCTTATTAAAAGTTTAACTTTATTATTTTGACTAGCTAATCAATTCTTATAGTTCAAAATTCAGACAATACAAAAGATCAAAGAATTCTCAACTGTTCACTTCCCTTTTTAAAAGCAATATTACTAGTTTTTGTGTCCTTACAGAACTATTTCTTCTATAAATGTGTTTGTTGCCAACTTGATACAAATCTAGACATATCTTGGAAAAGGGAGTCTCACTTGAAGGCTTGCCTCAGTCAGATTATCCTGTACATGTCTGTGAGCATTTTCTTGATTAACGATTGGTGTGGGAGAGCTCAGTCTACTGTAGGTGGGGCCACCATTAGGCGCATGGTCCTGGTTGTGTAAGAAAGCCAGTTGATGCAGGTGGTATATGTTATTATCTTTTCTTTCACTTCATTTGAAACTGTTTTCTAGTATAATAAATTAGTTGTAAAGTCTAACAACTATGAAATAGGTATCTTGTTTTCCTTCTGATTTACATTGACTGCAGAAAAGGAGAACTTGTCATGTGTTCCAAAACTCATTAACATGAATCTGATTGCTCAGAAAGGTACCTGTTGGTAGAGGCTGCTTGTTTGTTCCTGGTCGCCCAGACACGAAATAATCACACAGAAACTATATTATTTGCAATGCTGTTGGGCTAATAGCTTAGTTGTATTGCTAGCTAGCTCTTATATCTTAAATTAACCCATTTCTATTAATCTTTGTATCACCATGTGGTTGTGGCCTACCAGTAAGGTTTCTTCTGGCATCTCCTGCTGTAGCTGTATGGCTTCTCCTTTGATATAGGTATGAATAATTTGCATTAGTATAGATTTTGCTTTATTGATAGAGATTTAAGGTCAATTTTGTTATATATATATATATATAAGTGTTTCTGATTTTGATTAAGGTATTGTGATTGTGTAGTTCATTTAAATATGTACTGTATAATTAAGAAATATAGGTTGTTAATGGATAATCATCGATAATAGTAAAGCTTGTAGTCATGTTAGTTAGATTTTCTAGATATATAGAGATTTATTTTAGATAGACATTCTTCATGTCTTTCAAAGATTACAGAATAGGACATTTAATGTTTTAATAACTGAGGACTTTTCATGACAATGAGACACTCTGCTCCTGGCAGCACCAATGTACTTCAAGAGGAAGATGGGCATCGAAGAGGCTCGTTATTGAGTTTGGTAGCCATTTGGGCAAGAAACTGCTCTTGCCTGGACTATTGCATAAACTGGACACAGAGAACCCACAGAGAGAGGACTACTGAACTTGCCTAAGGTGAGATGATCTTTCGGGGTTCCTGATTCATTTTGAAAGAGTCTGCGAGACATTCTGCAGGACACAACAGATAGTGACTGAACTGACTTTGAATTTTCCTGCTTTATGGAAATGTCTGCTGGATAGCATGGGCCTGAAGGCTGAAGATGGATGCCCCAACGGTACAGAGGAACTTTGGGTGACTGTCCAGGCAGCGCGATGTCTTTGTCATTTCTAGAGTTTGAAGTTTCTTGGTTCTTGTTTACTTAGGTAATATTATATCTTTCTGGAGTCTTTGATGGAGTTAAGAATAGTTAGTTATAGTTATAGTTTTCCTTAGTTATGATAAAGATTATTGTAACTTTTACTTGATAACTGTTTTGTTATATGTAATTTTGCTATGTTAAAGTTAAAGCTTTTTTTTTGTTTAAACCGAAAAAGGGGAAATGATGGAGGAAGGTCATTGGCTAATAAAGGAACTGCCGTGGCCCATTTTATTGGTTAGAGGATAGGTGGGAGTAGTAAACAGAACAGAACGCTGGGAGGAAGAGGAAGTGAGCTCAGACTCCACAGCTCTCCTATCGGGAGCAGACGCCTCAGAGAGAGAGACGCCATGCCCTGCTCCCAGGCAGACACATGCCATGAAGCTCAGACCCAGGATGGACTAGGCGAGAATCTTCCCGGTAAGACCGGTTCTCACAGATTATTAGAGATGGGATGATCGGGATATCAGAATTAGCCAATAAGGGCTAGAGCTAAAGGGCCAAGCAGTGCTTAAAAGAATACAGTTTCCGTGTAATTATTTTGGGTAAAGCTAGCCGTGGGAGCGGCCGGGTGCCGGGGATGCAGCCCCGCCGCTCTTATTACTACACTCCTTGACTCTGCCTCTCTCTCCTCCTCTATCTGCTAAGCCACTGTCTGAAACAGCTTTATTTATTAACCAAGAAAAACAACACATAGACAGGACTTCCCACACCATTGATAAACAATGTGTTTATCATTGTTTGATGGCAATTAGAATTATTTTCTTTTTACCAAGAGCAATAAATTTGGCTTTACTGAATTAGAACCACAAAGCTCAGTATGTGGATGGCAATAGAATTACAGAATAGGAACACTAATAGGTTCTGCCTTTTTGGTATAGTATCTAGAAAGGAATTGACAATTAAATTTGGAAAAAGAGCCAAATTGACAAATTTTGTTTTCTCCTCTCTTCGAAAAACGTCACAAAACAATGATGGTTATGAAATAACCTCATGATGTGGCTATTATTTAATGTAATTTTATTTCATGGAATTGAGTCTTCTAAGATAAGTTTATCATCTCTAAGTAGTGTAGTATTATGATACATTGAGCTTCCATGTTCTGGGAATAGCATTAAGTTTTGGCTGATTCCCAGATACCCATTATACTATGCCAGTTGATTCAATGTAGGCCATGTTTGGAATGACTTTTCCTCTCTATCCTACTGTTGATGGCTGGATTTTTATGATAATATTTTAATTCTTAGTTCTCTTAAAGTTGCTAAAAGAATTTTTATTATAGAAATTGAAATGAGATCTGATTATAATGTTTATTAATGTTGAGGAAGGTTCTTTTTTCACAAAATTTAACAAGATAATTATCAATTTTACTACAGGCTGGATTTTAACTTTTAGTTTTCAGGACTATATTATGAATTCTGTAACTTAAGAAAATCGAACCTTTTTAAGGGAAATTTAAAAATTTAGTATTGGTGGATGAGGTGGTGAACTGTGGCAGAAACTTTAAGTTTCCTGAAAGCCCATTTCCTCCTAGAAGGGAATTATACATTGGAATGTGCTTGCTGTGAATGGAAACAGAGCATCTTGGGTGAATAAAGTATTAGTTTCAGACTAAAATAGTGAATTTATGTATTCTGCAGAAGAGAAATCTTGCCCTTGGCTGTGTTGATTACTGCTTTTATGACTTTCACATGCTTCCTTTCTTAAGCTCTCATTAACTAGTGTATTTTTTCTGACTTATCCTAAAATTATAATTGTTCAAGCTATTGTATTAGTCATGATTCTCTAGAGAAACAGAATAGATGGGGGTTTATTAGAGTGGCTTACAGGCTGTGGTCTAGCTAGCCCAACAATGGCTGTGACCAGATGGAAAAGCAAAGAATCTCGTCCACAAGGTTAGTCTTCAATCCTGAAGATGAAGTTTTTAATGCCAGTGAAGGGGTGCTTCAGCAGTGGGCTTGATGAGCTTGCCCTTGGGAGTGAAGACAAGCAGGTAAAGAGCCAAAGCGTCTGTCCTCCATGGCGTGGCGGTAGGCAGGAAGGCATGGCGTAGTACTGGAGTGGTAGTTGATACCTTTATATCCTTTTATGTGGACTGTCACCAAAGGTGTAGCCCAGATTTTAGGATGGGTCTTCTGATCTCAAGTGATGCAGATTTGGAGTGGGTCTTCCCACCTCAAATGATCCAGCCAAGAAAATCCCTTACAGGCGTGCCCAGCTGCTTGGGTTTTAGTTGATTCCAGGTATAGTCAAGTTGACAACTAGGATTAGCCAAGCTACTAACAACTTTATCTTGGTTGGAAAATCTTTGAGGTATACTAATCAAGCCAGTTCATATTTAGCTGGGAGTGGAGGTACACACTTGTACCCTAGCATTTAGGACTGAAAAGGAGGACAGTTAGTTTGAGACCAGCCTGGATTACATTAAAAACCTGGCTCAAAAATAAAGTTTTTACTTTTATGACAGATGAATATTTCATTAAATAGTAAGGTTTTGCATACTAATAAAAGACTATGCAAGTAGAACTGGGCAAACAGTTTACAGGAAGTACAAATGTTGAATAAATATGGAAGAAATTTTCAGATTTATCAGGAAGCAGAAGAATTGAAATGTAGCACTGTCCATCAGAAACCGGAACACAGTGACACATGTCTTAGATCGTTCTTGGTGTATTGCTTTAATTACCCTCACAATGATTCTTTAAGGGCATACTGTGTTTATCACATTTATAGGTGAATAAATTGAGATACAGAAGGCATTAGTGTAAGGCAGTGGTTCTCAACAGCTCTGATACTGCACCTTTTAGTGCAGTTCCTCATGCTGTGGTGACCCCCAATCATAAAATTATTTTGTTACTACTTCACAGCTGTAGTTTTGCCACTGTAATGAATTATAATGTAAATATCTCATATGTAGCTATCTGATATGCAACCCCTATGAAGGGTAGTTCAACTGCCCAAGGGGTCGCAACCCACAGGTTGAGTACCACTGGTCTAAGGTCATGTGACAAGTAATATAACCAGGACATAGCTCTGTCTTAGTGTTGTGTGGAGACACAGTGACCAAGACAACTCTTACAAAGGAAAGAATTTAACTAGGGACTTGCTTATGGTTTCATAGGGTTAGTTTATTGTGAAGGGAGCATGGCGGCAGGCAGGAAGGCATAGCACAGTGCTGGAGTGGTAGCTGATACCTTTACATCCTGATCCACAGGCAGGTCTGCAGAGGAAAGTGGGGCACTGGGCCTGGTATGGTCATGTGAAATCTCAAATCCTACTCCCAGTGATAAACCTCCTCCAACAAGGCCACGCCTTCTAGCCTTCTAAAGAGTTCTTCACCTGGAGACTAAAAATGCAAGTATATGAGCCTGTGGGGCTGTTCTTACTCAAACCACCACAAGCTCTAGGGTCCAGTGCTCTTTTTAGACACTGAAGTTTGTTATAACTGCAAGTGCAGATGTCAGTGGGGGCATGTGTGCCATGCGCATGTGTGGAAGCCAAGCAGCAACTTTGTGGAGCTTTCTTCTTCCAGGGATCCAACTCTGCTCTCCAAACTTGCTTAGCAAGTGCCTTTAACCCACTGAGCCATCTTGCAGGCCAGCTCTTTAACTACTGCCTTTTGTTGCTTCTTTGATATCTTTATAAAGAATAGCCACTGTTGGTAAGAGTGTTTAAGAGTTAGCATTTTATACAGTATTGGTTACCGTAGTAGATGTTTACCACTCTAGTGGGTCTGTGAACCGGAGAGAGTGGGGCCTAAAGAGGAGGTGGGTCGAAGTCTCATGCGATAGCCACCTTTATTCAGAGCAGCAGAAGTTTATACTCTGAGGGCTGAGTCACATGAGTAAAGAGTACAATCACGGGAAAACATTTTTTCCACAGAGCAGATGAATGACAGCAGCTGAAATAAACACTACACTCAGGAATTCTCACAATTCTCACATGCCTTCGTTCTTGGACCATGTTCTGACAGATTTCTGCAAGATGCTTAAGTAATATGTTTGCAAGCTTTAATTAACACCTGCATTGTCTTTGATTTCAGATTTTATCCTAAGAAAATCCTTACAATAAATAACAAAATATACGTACAGAAATTTTACCTTCAATTGTTGAAACAACTTTGAAAAATTGTCTTACTAAGCTTTATTCTTATTAAAATAATAAAATAATGCTACTTGTTCATGTAGGAAAAAGATTGCCTTTATGTGCCTGTGTTGTAAATATGTTTACTGCTGGATACTTCAAAGCATTCTAATAAAACTGAAACATCAATATTTCTTGTTTTGTTCTAAGTGTAAAGTGTAAGTTTCAGTCAAGATATTAAATATCTTTGTATTAAGACTTGCCTAATCTCTGCTAATTCTTTTGCATGTAGCTACCCTATAAAAATGCCTTAAGAAAGAGCCATGGAGAAGTATGTTAGACTACAGAAGATTGGAGAAGGCTCATTTGGAAAAGCTGTTCTTGTTAAGTCCAGGGAGGATGGCAGGCATTATGTTATCAAGGAAATTAACATTTCAAGGGTAAGTACATTTTTACTTTGTTTGCAGAAGTAGTAATTTGGTCAGCCTAGGATCAAATATTAAATATTTATTATTTATCAGAGAAACACATAACCTAGTGAGGAAGAGTGCTATGATCCCATCAGGACCACTACGTCACTGGAGTCTGTGTGTCCTTTCAGATTTTTTCCTTTTTGTTCCTGTACGGTATGTAGAAACATATACTTACAGTCCTGTGACTTACTGTAGATTGGGCACGCTTAATGGGCTTCACTTACGGATTCAGTTCATTCCTTTGTAACATACTGCTATAGTTTTTAATGTTTGTTATTGTTATCATGCTGTGTTAGTAGCATTTTTAACCACTCTCTTATAGGTGGACTTTTACCTTTATTAGTGGCTTTACTATTTTCTTCCATTTAAGATGTCCGGCAAAGAACGGCAGGAATCAAGGAGAGAAGTTGCAGTGTTGGCAAACATGAAGCATCCAAATATTGTCCAATATAAAGAATCCTTTGAAGGTCAGATATATTTTGCAAACATTTAAAATAAGCTCTAAGATACTTACAACTTTTGGGTATTTTCCTTTAAGGATTTTTTTTGTGAATGTATTTTCGGTAAAAATACTTTTTGTTTTTGTTGTTTCATAAATATACATGTTAGTATTAGTTTGATTTTAGGATAGTAGTGATATCCTCATAGCTTAATATTGACTTACTGTTATTAACAATTACTTAAGAAGAAGCAGTATAGTACAAAAATTTTGAGTGGGCAAAATTAATAGCAACATTTTAACCTTAAATTTCCCTATAAGTATTTCTACTGACACTGAGAAAATGTTCTGATCTTGATTTTTGTAAAAACCATTACCTTATTTTTGATGATTTCATATATGCATATAACTTAATCATATTCCACCTGCAGCCCATTGCGTTCCTCTTCCAAGCACTCCCAACTCCCATCCTACTTTCATGTCTTCTCTTTTTAATAACCCACAGACTTTAACTAGGGTTGCTTGCATGTGGACAGGTATGGGGTGCTGGCTGAAGGAGTTCCCATAATGTGTTCGTGTCAAAGACTTCCATAATGGGGTTATTTCTTGGGCAGTTTACCAGTGATGAGAGCCCTGAGGAAAAATGACTCGTCCTTGCCCAGTAGCCTTTAACTACCATATATCCTCTTCTAGGAGTGGGTCCTCATGGGCCCTCCCAGTCCATCCTAGAACGTGGTGAACAGGCCCAACTGCACTTAGGAGTCATCTGAATGATTCAAATGTACTTCATTTTAAGCATTACCTGTCACCATATATGTTCAGAAGGCATAGACAGGCATGACTACATGTTCTCAGGTTCTTCTAAGTTCACCTTCATTCGAACTCCCTAGAAATTAGCGTGGTTGACAGTGGATAGCAAACATATGATTGTGAAAATAAAAAAGTAGCATTCCTGAAGTTTTCTTGGCATTAAAGATTCACTGTAAAGAACTACTGAAAAAGAATTACTTGTCTTTTCATGCAGGTAAAAGACCAGGATCAGGGCAAAGTGCCAGTTCTCTTGTCCCTTCTCAGAAAATCACAAAGCCTGCTGCTAAATATGGAGTGCCTTTAACATATAAGAAGTATGAAGATAAAATGTTACTTGAAAAAAATCACCCCCAAAACATAAACAGGTAAGATCATTTTTCAAACTGATTAATGTCAAGGTCAGTTTGACCCTGTGTAGTAACAGCCCCATTGGTTATCTGGTACTCGGGGTAGTCTTCATCTCCTTACTGAGGAGTATTGCTATGCCTCTGCATCCGTGCTAAAATGGAGGAGCCTTACTAACGCGGTGGACAGCATTAGGTAGATACATTGAGTACACAGCTGGTATAATACAAAAAGATAGCATTGTAAATGAAGTCCTCCTTGGACCTCTTGATTGTATGCAGAGAAGTAAGTACCTGTGATATTATTGCTAAAACACCAGATATTGGGTATTTCAGAATTCATAGTCAAATAAATCAAAATCTTGGAACTCTATAATTCTGAATATGATTCATATTGTGATAGTTTCCCACTTCAGAGTAAAAAAATGGCCTAAAGCTGTTGAGTTACATGACTGGGATCATGGTATCAATTGCACAACATTGGCACTTTTGATTTGGAATTTGAATATGGAAATTTTAGTGTAAATCATTATTAGCTTATTTTAGGATTTAGCCATTAAATAGGTAAGAGGAATATAGTATAGGAGTGGCAAAGACAGAAATCAGCTGCTACTCCTAGTACACTCAAAGAACAAAAATGTGAAAACTCCTCAACTCCATCTGTGAAGTTAATTCAGATCTTATGGACGGGGAATAGCTGTTAAGACTATTTGTGGTGATGTCCACTGAGTTCCCACAGCCTGGCGCTGGCCAAGAGAAAGCTATCTACCACAGAACTGAAGTCCACTGGGAAGTTGTACCAAGAAAGCACCTAGGGAGCTGACAAACTCTGAGGAGCCTTCTGGAGGCAAGCAGAATATGGCAGTGCTGCTGAGCTGACTGGACACCAGCAGAACTCTGTAGGAAACTGTCTTTGTGGTACTGTTGAGATTCAGTTGGAAACGGGCAGGACATAGGCACAACTTTTGCAAGGTAACCTGCAGGAGTGAGTGTCACAGGTCCCCACGTGCTGCAATAGCAGAAAGGGACACTTTCCTTCTGTAGTGTGTCTCCAGCAGCCTCTGTGATAGTGCAGGCTTTGTACAGGGGGTGTAACTGGCACGCTGGCTTTATCATTTGTTGATTCTGTTTATTCAGCTATCAAACACACCATCATATCCTTTTCTCTCTCTTTGGTCATGAAAGGAAACCTAGGACCGAAGACTTATTACTTTAAATCCTCTAAGATTCTGATCATCCCCTAATCTTCCACCTCAATATTTCTGATGTTTGTTTGTTTGTTTGAGACAGGGTTTCTCAGTGTAGCCTCGGCTGTGAGTTGAAACTTTCTCTGTAGACTAGGCTGTCTAGACTCATAGAGATCTGCCTGTCTCTGCCTCACAAGTGCTGCGATTAAAGGCTTGTGCCACCACCACCCAGCTAATTGTAAACTTTATTAATTGCCCCAGAGAATATCTTTGTAAAGTCAGTTATAAAGAAAAAAAATTTTCATTAAATATTTTTTTCACGTAAAAAAGACCCATAGCTTGCTAAGATCATTCAATACCAGCCTTCGAGACCCTGAAACTTAATTTCCTTAGCTTCGTATTATAACCAAGGAATTAAAATCATTAGAGGATCATTAGAAACAGGCTCATTGAATTAAAAACTTATATACTGTGTCCATGAAAAGAACATTCAGTGGCAACGTCTTGTCTTGCCACCTAAGTTCCATGCTCAAGCTTAGGTGATAAAACCTCTCAAGATCCCCCCTTTTCTATTGCTCTCATCTGCTGTGATGCTCCAAGGTTCTCTGCAGATCAGCTAAATTGGACCTGATTCTCCCTCCTATGCACTTTGTCCTTTGTTTGTTTGTTTGATCTGTTCTCTCTCCTCCTCTTGAGTTTTTTTTTTTTTCCTTGCCCTTTGTAGGCACAACTCACATCAATACTGCACTGTTTTGTTGGAAACCCTTGCTAGGTAAAATGAGATCACATGCTAACACCCTCACCTCCTACAGTTCTACTGTGGAAACAAAAGCAGGGCAAGGAGGGGCGGTAAATAAAGGAGCCACTTGTCTGTGATGAGTGCTCTAACTTTAGCTTCTAGATTAACAAATAGAATACTGGCATCATGGCCAGAGACATTATCACATTGGCAGCAGTGGCATTTGTATTTAAAGTTTCCACTGACCAATGGGAGATAAGAAATGCCACCTTTTTTTTTTTTATCTTTCTCCTGATTGTATCTCCTGCCCTCCCAAAGAGAAATAGGACCTGCTTCCTTAGCAGAACTTCAGTACCTTGTGTGTATCCTTTTATTGTTATGCTTATTGGAGTGTGATCTCTTTGAAGTGAAGGGCCTTGATATACATGTTTGCACAAAATTGTTTTTTTTAATGAATAAACGATTGAATAGATTGAATTTCTATGAGGAAAGCAATGCCCTTTATTTCCTAACCATACTAAATAGGGTGAAAGGACAGATAAAAACCCTTTCAGGCTCAAGTAAACAAGTGTTCTTTGAGATACTTTTTCAGGTATATGTGTACAAGTGGCCAGCCGTCAACCTCGGGTGCTTTCTGTCACTCTTCGCTTTATTTTTTGAGATGTGGTCTCTCAGAAACCCAGGAGCTCACTACTTTGACTAGGTTCACTAGCCAATAGCTCCTGTGGTTACGGATGAGCACCAGCAAGTCTGGCTCTTATGTGAGTACTGTGGACTTACTAAGACCAAACTTAGGTCTTAGCTAGGTAGGCACCTTACCTTCTGAGTCATTTCCCCATCCAGAGGTTTATTGTTAATGCTTTACAGCAACTATTTTACTATGGTGCAATAAATAAAACACTGCTTTTGAAATAGATTTCTTTTGCATACATACCATATTTGGTTTCTAGTGAAGCAGGTTGGTATCTTAGTGTAATCATGATGTCCTTTTTTCCATCAAGTATTTTGAAAGTTTGAAATTGACTTAGTGTGCTTTTAACAACTATGAAACACACTTTGGTATACACTGCGTTTCTTTAACTGAATTCTATACATTTTTATTTATTATCATTATGATTGTATCACATTTTGACATGAAATCAGTTGGCTTCATTGCTACAAATGTGCTTTAAAAATTTTATGTTCCATACCAAAATTTCATTACATTTTTTTCATGTCTTCTAAATAGGTTTTTAAAATATTAATTCATAGATAATTTTCAAGATACATGTTTCTTCCAAATAGTGTTTACATTTGCAACACATGTTTAACAATTGTAATATAGACATGCATAACGTCTCTGATTCTTGGAGCTAAAACTAATGTTGGCCATGGAGTAAGAGAGGACAGACACATTATCTTTTTTTTTTCTTTGGAGACAGGGTTTTTCTGTGTAGCTTTAGAGCTTTCCCTGGAACTCGTTCTGTAGACCAGGCTACAAACTCACAGAATCCACCTGCCTCTGCCTCCCTGGGATTAAAACCTTTACCACCACCGCCCAGCGACATACTTGTGTTTATGTGATTAGGTAGATACCACATAGAATAATCACAAAAAGGAATACACACTTGGGCGAACTTGTAAAATGAGAGTTGTTTTTGTCCCTTGGCCACCCACTATTCTGAGAATGAAGGAAATGGTGAATTGAATCCATGACATGGTAGAAACCTCACCTTTGACCAGGACAGAAAAGAAACCAAGTGTAAAATCAGAGCCATCTCATAGCTGATGGAATCAAGTAATGTGCTTTCTTTCTTTCTTTCTTTTTTTTTTTTTTTCGGATTTTCGAGACAGGGTTTCTCCGTAGCTTTTTGGTTCCTGTCCTAGAACTAACTCTTGTAGACCAGGCTGGCCTCGAACTAACAGAGATCCTCTGCCTCCCGAGTGCTAGGATTAAAGGCGTGTGCTACCACCGCCCGGTGTAATGTGCTTTCTTAATTGTTCTTTTATTTCCAGTTAATTGTCAGTGTAAATGGGAGTTTTGGATTTTTGCTCTTAATATTCAAAATGATAGGCTCCATCTCTCATATTCTAAGATGGAAAAGTGACTCAGATGATAGCTGCCTAAAACCAGAAGGGTTTTAGGCAAGGTTATTCCTTTTCAATTTTTTTAATCATTTTTAAATGATTTTTAAGCCAATCCACTGAAAATTAGATAGTAGTCAGTACTTAGATTGTGCCATGACTTATTTTAAAACATTTAACGTTGCACAAACTCAATGTCTAGGAGAGCAAGCTTGCATAATGACAGAACAGACTTAAAATCGAAAAACATGACTTTATAATGTATATTTTGCAACAATAAAAGTATAAAAATAAAATTTATGAAAACTTAATGTAACAGGAAGGCCTCTTGTTTGTCCCGGCTGCCCAGAACTGGCTGCCCAGCTAGCTTTGCTCTGAAATAACCACACAGAAACCGTATTAATTAAATCACGGCTTGGCCCATTAGCTCTACCTTCTTATTGGCTACCTCTTACATCTTAATTTAACCCATTTCTACTAATCTGTATTGCCACATGTTTGTGGCTTACCAGCAAGGTTTTGCATCTGACTCTGGCAGCGGATTGATGCCCTCCCTCCGCCTCTCTTTCTCCCAGCATTCAGTTCCATCTTCCCCGCCTACCTAATTTCTGCCCTATCTACAGGCCAAGGCAGTTTCTTTATTCATTAACCAAGAAAAGCAACACAGACAGAAGGACCTCCCACACCAATAGGTAGATAGAAAAAAGTAAGAGCATTGCAATCAAATAGATAAGAAAACTATCAAGGTCATAACAAGGGAATGGAATGAAAAAAAACCCCACAGTTTCTGAAGTGTTTTAGTTTTTTGAAGCAGGGTTTTGCTGTCTCCTCAAATCAACTTGAATGCTTGCTCTTCCTGTGCTCCTAAAAAGCTGAGATAGTGTTAGCTAGTGTACTGGCTGAGATTTTAAATAAATTCCTGTTGTTTTTTTGAATGATTCCTTTTTAAATTAAAGAATATTCTCTCAACAAATATAAAATATTTTTATATTCAGACTTGCTTAAATATCTTAATATAGTAATATCTTTATTTATATAAATTTAAGCTAGTACATGTAGTTTTGTTGTTCTTGTTGTTAGGGGTTTTGTTGTTTTCTTGAAGCCACCAGAGGGAGCTCCATGAACACAATTCTGTGTTTAGGTTCATTTTTGCTTTTGTTTTTTGAGTGACAGAAAACAAAACCATTTCCTTAGTACAGTGTTTCTTTTTATCTCTTTAGTATAGAGATAACATTCTGAAAACACCCAGTTACTCTCAGAGGAATAGCTTGGAATTTTATTCCATAAATACTTGAATAGTCTCTATGTAAGGTGATAGAGAAGATCAAAGAGGAACCTAATCTTTGCTTCCATATAACTTACCTCTTAAACCTCTACCTCTTGGGCTAAGGATATTTCCTAGGGCTGAGACTCATTCAGCAAGTGAAGGAGGGTGCTTACAACAAAAGCCTGCCATCCTGACTTGATCACTGCAGCCCACATAAAGTGGGGGGGGGGGGGGAAGAACACCAACTCTAGTGTTGTCCTCCCTTGCTACGCAGAAGCCTGAATACACTGTACACATACAATAATAGGGGAAATTTAAAAGCTAGTCATTTAGGCCCCAAAGCTCTTATTACATTAGTTTATTTCTTCCCCTTTTTTTTCTTCAGTCTCTCAGGTCGTCCTTGAATTTATTTTCCTGACAGTTAAGACTATAGATGTGTGCCACCACTAGTTCATTAACGTTGATACTACATACTCATTTGATTTCTATGGGGTACAGATTTGGAAAAGAGTCTAACAGCCTCATAGAGTTTTAACTGTGACAGGTGTCAAAATGCTTAGTAAAAATAAAATGTCTTTTTTAGCCCTATAGTATTAACATATACCATAAAGGAAAATAGAGGTGTAGCTGATTTATAATTATAAACTTTAGTGCCGTAAAAGAATAAGTAAAAGCTAAACATAAGAAAATAGCTATAGTAAACAAGATAAACCAAGAATGTATCTGAGATTTTGTGAACAGTAAGTATGTAAAAGGAAATATTCTAGCATTTTTAAGGAGCAGAAATTAACAGAGATGAACAATCCACATGAAAATCTGTGTTTTCTATATTCTTTGGTGGAAAATAAATTGGTTCAGCCTTTGGGGAGGTGGAGTTCTCAAAATATAAATTATGATGTTGCTCTTTAATTCCACTTTTTTTTTTTAAATTGGTCTTCTGGGATATTTGAGTATGAGCCAAAATGGTATATGTAAGAAAGTTTCTTACAGAATATAGAATAGGAAAACTTAAAATCAACCCAAAATCTATCTCAGAATAATGGCTAAATAAATTAATTCTGGATTATTTCCTTGTTAATTTATTACCAATAATAGTAAATTATTGCCATCATGTGGAATTGTCAAGACATTATTAAAAATACTTTGCTATCAAATAAAACATTTTATAAAAAACAGAAAAGGTAAAATTATGGCTTTATATATTTATGTATGTATGTATGTAAGTTTATAAAAATGTCTAGAATGATACTCATAAAAATATTGATATGGGTTACCTCCAATATGAAACAACTATAAATTTTTATTGTTGAGTTTTATGTAATGAACATATATTATACAATTTATTTTTTAAGAAAAATTTATTATTTAACTTTTGAAGTGATGTTTCATTATAGTATTAGATTGGTAAAATTAATATCCATTGGGGGAGTAGCTCATGAGGACCCATGAGGAAATACTAGAAAGTTAATGGCTTTTGGAGGAAGGAGTCACTTTTCTTAGGGTGTGTGCCCCTAATATATTGCTGATGCTTCATTGGATAGCCCCACACCTATGCATATATGGACAATTGGACTCAGTTATAAAAACAAAAAGGACAGGTAATTGGGAGGTATAAGTGTTGAGGGATCTAGGAGGAGTTAGTGGAGAAAGTTGGGAAGGAGTGTGCCTGATCAAAATCATGCTTGGGTGTAGTGATATTTCATTTGTATTTTATTTATTTTTTTTAAAGATTTATTTATTTATTATGTATACAATATTCTGCCTGCATGTGTCCCTGCAGGCCAGAAGTTGGCACCAGATCTTATTAGAGATGGTTGTAAGCCACCATGTGGTTGCTGGGAATTGAACTCAGGACCTCTGGTAGAACAATCAGTGCTCTTAACTGCTGAGCCATCTCTCCAGCCCTTCATTTGTATTTTAATAAACAACGCTTATCTGAAGATCAGAGAGTAAAGCAGCCACTCTGGTCAGCCTTACAGACCAGGCAGTGGTGACACACACCTTTAACTGCCGTAGCCATACTAGTTTGCCATAGAAAACAGGCAGTAGTGGTGCATGCCCTTAATCCCAGCACTAGAGAGGAATATAAGATGGCTCAGGAGACAGCTCTCGGGTGCAGTGCAGTCTCATTCTGAGGATTCCTGGAGGCAGAATCGCCACTTGGGTAGAGGCGAGAGCAGTGGCTGGCTGTTTTGCTTTTCTGATCTTCAGGTTGAACCCCAATATCTGTCTCTGGATTTTTATTATTGTGCTACAGTTGGGGGCGTGTTGGAGGTGAGAACTGGGGAGTGTACATGATCATAATATACTACATAATATATGAAATTCTCCTTAAATAAAATCTTTAAAAATATGTGTATGCAGAGAAAACTAGGTGATGGTTTGAGTGTTGTCTTCCAGGTTGTTTAATATAAGGCATATCAACGAGTAGTGTCTGTCTAAAGTCAATGCATTTTAAAAGTTATAACAGTATTGGCTTTCTTTACCTTTTCTTAACTTAAACTTCCTGAAGTTTGTGATTTCCAAGAGTGTCTTAAATATTTATCTAATTTGTAGCTTTGTTTTTTATCCAGCCCTATCAAATTCCAGCGAAGAAAATGTGTTCTGGAGAAGAAAAGAAGAAAATGTTTGAGGTATAAAGACATATATCTGCTTATTTCAAAGCCTCACAAAACAGTTCTTAGACAACAGCAAAATCCACTAACGTTATTGATCCCTGGTTCTCAACTTTCCTAATCCCGTGACCCTTAAATACAGTTCCTCATCTTGTGGTAATCCCCAACCATCAGATTAGTTTCCTTGTTACTTTGTAACTGTAATTTTGCTACTGTTATGAATTTTAATATAAATATCTGTGTTTTCTGATGGTCTTAGGTGACCCCCATGGAAACGTCAGTTGATCCCCAGGGATCACAACCCACTAGTTGAGAACCAGTGTTACAGAGCCTCCAAACCTTTCTGCTTTGTGTCTTTCAAACAGATACTTTATTTTGTTCATCCTTTGGTTTTCCTCATCTCTTTGGGTATACCTTTCCTGTTGATATACTTTCTGGATGCAAATATAAAAAGGTAGAAATTATTGATAGAAGTGTTCTTTTGTTTAAGGAAGCAGCAAAGAAAAGAAAGTTGGAATTTATTGAGAAAGAGAAGAAGCAGAAGGATCAGGTAGCTTTTTGCTCTTGTTTATCTCCCTTTGCCTACATGTAGATGGTAAAACTTGGGTTCTGAGAATATGTCTAAAATGTTACAGATTAGTTTCCTGAAGGCGGAGCAGGTGAAGAGGCAAGAGAAGCAGCGGGTAAGAGACTCCATCTCCACAGTGTAGCTCTGCCCTCCCCACACATGTAGTTTTAAAGGAAGTGCACTGATTTTAATTTTATTGTTAAATGTATTCTGTATGTTTTGTATTAAGTAGTTGAAATGGTATTTTGTTTATTTCTCTTTCTCCAAAAGTTGGAGAGAATAAATAGGGCCAGGGAACAAGGATGGAGGAATGTATTGAGGGCTGGTGGAAGCGGTGAAGTAAAGGTAGGCATTTGCTACTGGTGGAGCTAAGCTGTTGCTTGTCTCCAGTGTCTCCTTGTTCTTTAAATCTCTATCGCTGGCTACTGTTGTTTTCTTGCTGTATGGATAATGTTATATAGAATTCTGCAATGTGCATTATGATTTATTCCTTACCTGTGTGTATGGGATAAATAATAATTAACATGTGACATTTATTAAAGTTAAAACTTTTGTGTTAAGGCTGTACTGCAGTTCCTTTTAGAGAACTCTCAAATCAAATACAAAATCAGATAATGCTTGTTAGAAGTTTTCATGTAATCTTGAAAATTAAGTTCTCAGGTTTTCTTAATTGGCCACTGTCAGACTCTCCAAGATAATAATAGCGACCCACTACGATGCTCTTCCGCCCTACTTGTGCTACACAGCAGAACTAATTTCGTAAGCGTATGGAGCCTGCTGGTTCTCATGTCTTTGCACTCCGGCTCCTCTCTACTGTCTAGCACCCCTGCTTTTCTTTTCCACCTGCACCTCCGCCTCCATTCATTCACCTAGATAACCAATTGCCTAAATAGCCATTTACCTAGATTCTTTAATGCACACATTCCCTTTGGGCAAATCTGACTTTGTATCCTTAGGCAAATTAACTTTTCTGAGTTTATTTTCAGTGCTTAGAGCTTTTCTACTGGGGCTCAGATAGAAATGTCTTTACCCATCTTTGTTCTGTCAGAGACTTGTACTTCTCCATCGTTTTCAAAAATACCACTTAACTTATACTGGTAAGCTGAATCCTGAAACAATCTATGGGATTCCCCTCCTTTGTATTCTCTCCTCTTGAGCTGTAAATACAGTTGTACTTAATGGCTCCTTTGATTAGATTATGTTATGTGATAAATGAGCACTCCCACAATTACATTGTCGGAGTAGACAGGAATGGGAAAAGAAGTGTAGGGAAGTCTACCACTACTGACCTGAAGGGCAGCAAGCACAGACACGGCAAGAAAGCATGGACGACTTCTGGATTATGACTGTTATGGCTTCCATCACCCAGCACTCCGGCTGGAACTTCCAGGTTCCAGGGCCGCGCCTGTGCCAACAAGTGCTCAGGCAGTTTATATAGCCAACCAGGGTCCTCAAGCCCTAAGTGACCTACATGCAGCATGGTCATGTCTCCTACACATGACGCAACCACGCATGAAGCAGCCACGTAAGCCCCTGTGCGCATGCGCTAGGCAGACTTTAAAAGCTGGATATGCCCACTCCACACTCTCCCTGCACCAACTTCTTTAAGCCTATGCACATATCTTTCTCTTTCTTAAACTCTTAAAGTGGGTTTTGTGATCCGTTCTCTCTCCCGGTAATTTCATGGGTGCGTAGACTCCATAGACTCTCCAGCCCCCTCTCCTGGGGCTGGGACCCTGGACCGGCTTTCTCCACAACAATCCACATTTACTTTTACGATCTACTGGTTGCCAACTTTTAGGCACACCAGCTGCTTCAATCAGTGAGTTTTCCTTCTGGTCATCTTAACCTTTTCTCCAACTGAGGACTTGACCGGTGAGCTCCCAGCAACCCTCTGCTGTTCCTAGAAATGGGGGGAATGCCCCCAACCACAGCCTTCATGGCTACAATTGAACCCTTCTCTGATATTCATCTCTGGTTGCTCCTCGCAGCTAAAAACTGAGATTTGGCACCCTGCTGTTCAGAGCACTTGAAAGTGGTCCTGTCACCACTGTTGGATATTTTTTCTTGGGCTGCCACCATTCGGGCCATCTGACCCCCGATTCATCCTGGCCTGATTCTCAACCCACGTGCTATTCCTGAGATGTCTGATTAATTACCTTTGTTATTTTGCCATTCTCACATTTTTAGCCATGGGAAACAAACCCTCAAAAGCGATCAGTTCACCCTCCCCCCTGGGATGTCTTTTAGAGACCCTAAAACCGTAATGCTTAATGCCGTACTTATAGATTCCCACGCGTGTCCATCTTTGTTCTAATAAAAGGCCTAAGTACCCTTTAGATAATAACCTAAAGTGGCCACCTAATGCCACCTTTGATCCCCATGCTCTGCGGGAACTTTCTAATTGGCAGTGCACAAGCAGGTGGAAGGAGTTTCCTTATATCCAAGCCTTTTCTATCTAAGTTCTAAGCCCCTGTCCTTACAAGCTCTTCACCTGCTCACATGTTCCCAGCTATGCCGTCTAAGCTGGAGGAACACCCGATTCAGCTCTGGACCCTGCTAATGAACTTCACTTTTCCAACCTCAGCAGACCCTGTGGATGGGCTACTAAAAGTACGTATTTCTTTCTCGCTCTCAGAACTCTCTCACATAGAACAAAAACTGGGTTTTTATTTGTCTAATTCTATGTCTTTCATAAGGTAATTTCAATACATTATCCAATCTTACATAGGCTCACCTTTCATGATATTTTTATGATCCTACTTCGTGAGGAGCATAGGTGAGTTTGGGGGCAGGCCAGAGTGCATGCAGATGAGGGCGCCATACTAATACAGCAGCACCCCTTGCCAGGCAGTCCCCAGTAGGATCCACATGGGGATTGTAACACCCTAGGCAGTATTTTAGATAAAGGTCTCCTTAAGGCTGCCCTCAAGCCAGTAAACTGATAAACTCTTAGAGGTTATTCAGGATATGAAGGAAATGGGTCTGCATTTTCAGAACGCCTCCCTAAAGCTCTGTTACTATATACTAAGCTAGATCCAGAGACCCCAGAGGGCCGGCAGTTCCTTATGACCCACTGTTTTGTTTTGTTTTGTTTTATTCAGAGCTTCCCTGACATTAGGGTTAAACTTAGGCATTTGGAGACAGGCCCTTTGACCCCACAGGCAGTAAGTAGTCCTCTTTTTTTTTTTTTTTTTGGTTCCTGTCCTGGAACTAGCTCTTGTAGACCATGCTGGCCTCACAGAGATCCACCTGCCTCTGCCTCCCGAGTACTGGGATTAAAGGCATGCACAACCACCGCCCGGCTGACAGTAAGTAGTCTTAAAGTTGGCTTTTAAAGTGTAACATGCAAGGAGTGATAAAGCCCATAAACACTAATGTCAGATGATCGTCCAGGAGACTGACCGTCCTGTCCCTGCCGCTCCCTTGCCCCTGGGGCTCAAGAGTCGCCAGGCCCATGTTTCAAATGTGGTAAAACTGGGCATTGGGCCCAGGCGTGTCCTAATCCTCATATTGGCCTTACGAGACCGTGTCCAAGGTGCCATAGGTCAGTCAGTTGTCCTCGTGCGCATTGTGGCATGGAGTCATCAAACACAGACAATTCCCTTTGACCCGACCACAACTGTCATCTGTAATAGGGAGCAATGGGTAAATACCACAGTATCTGACCCTCCCATCTCCTTTCCCTTGGATACTGGAGCCACATACTCGGTACTGAGGGATTTTTGGGGAACTATGTCTCCTAGTTTCTCTATTGTCAGGGTAGGGGGACAGCCTTATTACCTCATCAGACCCCACTATTTAATTGTATCTTTGGGGGTATTTATCTCACTCATTCATTTTATTTTTTTTTTCATTCTCAGCCTTCATTTATTTTATTTATTTATTTATTTATTTATTAATTAAAGATTTCTGTCTCTTCCCCACCACCGCCTCCCATTTCCCTCCCCTTCCCCCAGTCAAGTCCCCCTCCCTCGTCAGCCCAAAGAGCAATCAGGGTTCCCTGCCCTGTGGGAAGTCCAAGGACCACCCACCTCCATCCAGGTCTAGTAAGGTGAGCATCCAAACTGCCTAGGCTCCCACAAAGCCAGTACGTGCAGTAGGATCAAAAACCCATTGCCATTGTTCTTGAGTTCTCAGTAGTCCTCATTGTCTGCTATGTACAGTTTTTTCCCAGGCTTTTTCAGACCCAGGCCAGTTGTCCTTGGTGAGTTCCCGATAGAACATCCCATTGTCTCAGTGTGTGGGTGCACCCCTCGTGGTCCTGAGTTCCTTGCTCATGTTCTCTCTCCTTCTGCTCCTGATTTGGACCTTGAGATTCTGTCCGGTGCTCCACTGTGGGTCTCTGTCTCTTTCTCCTTTCATCGCCTGATGAAGGTTAATATTCAGGAGGATGCCTATATGTTTTTCTTTGGGTTCTCCTTCTTATTTAGCTTCTCTAGGATCACTAATTATAGGCTCAATGTCCTTTATTTATGGCTAGAAACAAAATATGAGTGAGTACATCCCATCCCATGTTCCTCTTTTTGGGTATGGCTTACCACACTCAGAGAGTGTTTTCTATTTCTATCCATTTGCATGCAAAATTCAAGAAGTCCTTGTTTTTTACTGCTGAGTAGTACTCCAATATGTATATATTCCATACTTTCTTCATCCATTCTTCCATTGAAGGGCATCTAGGTTGTTTCCAGGTTCTGGCTATTACAAACAATGCTGCTATGAACATAATTGAGCATATACTTTTGTTGTATGATAGGGCATCTCTTGGGTATATTCCCAAGAGTGGCATTGCTGGGTCCAGGGGTAGGTTGATCCCGAATTTCCTGAGAAACCGCCACACTGCTTTCCAAAGTGGTTGCACAAGTTTGCATTCCCACCAGCAATGGATGAGTGTACCCCTTTCTCCACAACCTCTCCAGCAACGGCTATCATTGGTGTTTTTGATTTTAGTCATTCTGACAGGTGTAAGATGGTATCTTAAAGTTGTCTTGATTTGCACATCCCTGATCGCTAAGGAGGTTGAGCATGACCTTAAGTGTCTTTTGGCCATTTGAACTTCTTCTGTTGAGAATTCTCTGTTCAGCTCAGTGCCCCATTGTATAATTGGGTTGATTAACTTTTTACGGTCTAGTTTCTTGAGTTCTTTACATATTTTGGAGATCAGACCTTTGTCAGTTGCGGGGTTGGTGAAGATCTTCTCCTAGTCAGTGGGTTGCCTTTTTGTCTTAGTGACAGTGTCCTTTGCTTTACGGAAGCTTCTCAGTCTCAGGAGGTCCCATTTATTCAATGAGGCCCTTAATGTTTGTGCTGCTGGGGTTATACGTAGGAAGTGATCTCCTGTGCCC